ATTACAATTGTTATTGAACGACTATGCACATTCTTGAGTTTATTGTTTTATCCTATATTGTAAGCCGCCTAGAGTGGATGAGTAGTCCAGATAGGCAGGGTATAAATCAAATAAATAAATAAATAAATAAATAAATAAATAAATAAATAAATAAATAAATAAATATTGTCATCTAACAATGAAGCAAGTGAATGAACAAATAAAAACAGTATAGGTGAAAATAAAATAAAAATAAAGAGAGAAAAAAGACAAAAAGGTGGTGGCAATTTAAAGACTAGCTTTTATGGTTTTTTTAATATGAGCTTTTGTGGAGAAGTCCACTTCATCAGACAACTGATAGCAAGTCAGCAGTGTTCTGCCAGTTTTGATCCCATAAGTTGAGGTGAGGGTGGGGAAATAAAGTACCAACTGCATGTGTAAATTCTGCATTTGTGCAAAGGGGCCTGTGCATGATAGCCAGGAACTGAACTCAACTATCTTTGGGAAGGCATGCTGGGAAATGGGGAAAAGCCCAATGAGTCAAGTAGCATTTCCACTGCAAAAAGGAAGAGCATCCCAATTTTAATATTTGACCTGCTTCTGCAGAGGATGGAAAATGTTTGCACCTCATCTAATTTAAATGGTTTAATGGTAGCTTTTGAGGACAGGGTTACCTCAGCTTCATTATTTATTTGTTATTTACTTAATTAATTACCGTATTTTTCGCTCCACAAGACGCACCAAATTTTATTTTGAAGAAAACAGGAAAAAAATAATTTGTTTTCTTCTCCTAAAAATTGGTGAGCCTTATGGAGAGGTCCATCTTATGTAACACACCCTAGGACCCTTTGGAGGCTCACCCTGCCCCCCGGGGATCAGAGGGGGCGACATCGCCAGGTTCTGGGACTCTGCTGAAGCTTCCCAAGCCTCAAAAGAGTCTGAGAAGCTGGTGATACCCCCCCTTTGGCCCAGCCGGGGGGGGCAGGGTGAGTCTCTAAAGGGTCCTAGGGTGTGTTCCAGGACCCTTTAGAGAGCCTTATGTAGAGGTCCATCTTATGGAACACACCCTAGGACCCTTTGGAGGCTCACCCTGCCACCCCGGGGGTCAGAAGGGGTGAAATCGCCAGCTTCTGGGACTCTTCTGAAGCTTCCCAAGCCTCAAAAGAATCCCAGAAGGTGGCAATTTTGCCCCCTCTGACCCCTGGGGGGGCAGGGTGAGTCTCTAAAGGGTCCTGGAACACACCCTAGGACCCTTTAGAGACTGACCCTACCCCCCAGGCATCAGAGGAGGTGAAATGGCCACCTTCTGGGACTCTTCAGAGGCTTCCCAAGCCTTAAGAGACTCCCAGAACCTGGTGATTTCACCGGCGCTGGCCCCGTGCGGGGGTGGGAGGAGCATGGCAAGGGTACTGGGAGGCTCTCTCAGACCCTTGTGATACTCCCTCCACCCTCCCACGGGGCCAGGGGGGGTAAAATTGCCAGGTGCTGAGAGTGTTTGGAGGCTTATCAAGCTTCCAAACACTCCCAGAACCTGGTGATTTCGCCAGCGCTGGCCCCGTGGGGGGGTGGGAGGAGCGTCTCAAGGGTCTGAGTGAGCTTTCAAGGACACTTGCGACGCTCCCCCCACCTGGAAGCTGGCGATTTCGCTGGCGCTGGTCCCGTGGGGGGTGGGGGAGCCTTCCAAGGGTCCTGGAAGGCTCACCCGGACCCTTGCAACACTCCCCCCCCACGGGGCATGCAGCGACGAAATTGTGCCTTTGTTCCATTAGACGCACGGACTTCCTGCCCCACATTTTGGGAGGGAAAAAGTGCATCTTATGGAGCAAAAAATACAGTATTTCATTTAATTTATAACTTGCCTTTCTCCCAAGTAGCTTACAAAAATGACTTTAAAAAAGGTGCATCATGTATATTGTTAAAATCCAATTAAGTACATAGATAGAAAACCAACTGACGTTTTCTGTGCACTTGAGGGCATTCTGTGCAGAAATGTTTTTGTATCTCCCAGGGTGCCTGTCATGCAGCTGGTTGTACAACTGATTGTGCAACTGAACAAAAATGGATGAATACAGCTCACATTACTTGCACAATTGCACTTTCACAGTCACATAAGTGATTAGATTAGAGGAACAGCCACAGCAATAGCAGCAGCAGCAACAACAGTACCACTGAATTCACAGAAAACGTTTTGAAAAAGAAAGGAGTAATCTGTAACTAACACAATCTGTGAACAGTGATTGTGTCCTGCTTTTCTGAATTACACCCCATCCAGTGGACCAACAATGTCTGGAGCACGATTTGAAAGGTGTTGATATAATAGTTGTTTATGCAAGTTTAACATTTAAGGCCAGTGGCCATTTCTTTAAATGAGCCATATTTGTGAATTTGAATATGGGATGTTCAATGTCTGGGCCTAGAAGAGTACAACCTCTCTGAAATTAAGACTTAATTTTACATGTTAGCCTTTCAGTGAAGACACCGGCTCTGGAGGCTGCTCGCCAGGGTGACCGCGTTGGGCCTCGCCGTTGAAGTGCTGCGACAGCTGCTGCACGGAGGGCGAGAGGCTCCACCAAGCCCAGCTGGCCAGCGCAGAGGCACCGCCGAAGGAAGCTGCGCGGCCAGGCGAGTGCCGCTGCCGCCCAGTGGCATCCTCCGGGAACGGGGACGGGGTGTGGGGCATCGGCGGTGTCCCGGCGCCAGGAGGCTGAGCCTGGCCCAGGGCACTGTCATGGCTGCACCCACCCCCTCCGCTGTGATCTACCTCTCCAGGCATTGGAAGGAGATACTCCTCCTGGCTGGGGTGCTCCAGCCACTTGCCCCAGCCTTGCCCTCCACCATGGCTAGCCCTGCTGCTGCTGCTGCCTTGGCAGCCATACGTCACCGGTCAGGGCCCGTTGCCGGCCATCTCTGTGCCTCGGTTGCAGCTGGGCTGGAGAAGGGGGCATAAAAGGGGTGATTGGGCAGCTGGGGAACCCCCCTCCGGGCAGAAGAGGAGGAAGAAGAGGAGGAGAGAAGGGGTTAGGGTCGCGTCCTCGTTACCCCCAGGATTTTCATTTTTAACCAATTTGGGGTAATTTACTCCTGTTCCTTACCACTGCCCAAGGTAGTCTACTCCAATGTTAAACATATCTTACTCTGTTTATTATCAGTTCTTCCTAATATTCAGTCAAAATCTCCTTTTCTTACCATTTGAATCCCTTGCTTCAGGCTTTATGACCTGGGGCCACAGAAAACAAGCTTGCTCCATCTTTCACATTTTGAGGAAGGAAGGAAGGAAGGAAGGATGGAAGGAAGGAAGGAAGGAAGGAAGGAAGGAAGGAATCACATGTACAGAAACTTCCCATACTCTGTAGTGACTCCTTGTTCTGATGACCATTACAGAGACAAAATCTAAACCTTCTCTTGCCCGCTGCTGTGGGCAATTAGAGGGCTACAACTATCCACTATCCTGATTTTGTAAAGAAAGAGAAGCAGAAGATAGATCCTCAGTTGTGATCCTCCTTATCCTATCTAATATTAGTTGCTTTTCCCTACTCTTTCCCTTCCCAACTGCAGGCAGGAGTTGTCAAGAGAGAGCAAGGAAAGGAAAAAAAGTCAGGAAGTGACTTCCTTAACCTTCTCTGGAAAAAAAATGTTTTTCTTTTCCTCAATTGTGTTTCCATCCCCTCTCTTTCCCTTTTATTTTTTACTTGCAGAAAGTGGATGTCACCAGCAGAGCTGTGATGGAGATAATGACCAAAACAATAGAATACCTTCAACCTAACCCAGGTAAAGGTGCTGCATGATAGGACTATATCTGGATGTAGAGCTCACTTACTCTACCCAAGGCCAATTCAGACAGGCTTTCCAGAGTAGTAAGAAACAGCAGTTTCTGCCATAGATGTAGACGTAACTACACACCTACATCCACACCTACCTAAGAAAGTCTCTTCAAGCACTTTTTTAACAAGGCCTGTTTGCATTATTTTCTAAGGGAAAAATAAGTGAAGTCCTGTACTTACACTACTTGCAACTTACTTTATCATAGTAAGTTGCAACTAGAATAGGCCCATTAGAATCAAAGTTCCTTACAGAAAAGTTGGCTTACAAAATCCCCATTGATTCAGTAGGCCGACTCTACTTACCATGCTAAGCAACAGGTCCTCAGCAATTGTCTGCTGGCTTTTCCTATTTCTGTTCCACAATCAAACACTTGACCAACAAAGAGAATGATTTCTCCTCCTTGAAGTATGATTGGTTTCAAGAATTGGTTTCAAGAATTTTCCCATTATTGTTCTATGAAAACAAAGGTTTCAAATTTAGCTTCATGAGTCGTGGCCATGTTGGCATTGTTCTCAAATTGCGTTCTTTGTAAGGAATGTCCTAATTTATTTATTTATTTATTGGCTGAAATCCTATTCATGCCTGTGTTATCAGCCTTATGTGAGTGTTCTAACATGAAAAGCCTTTTCACCATCAGGTTACTTTATATCCAATCTTTCCACTGAAAGGCTCTAAGATATGGTAAAAGCTCTTCCACTTCCTTTTCTTAAACAAAGACTAACATCCTCAGGTTTATCAGAACCGCAGCGCTCAGTTTTGTTTTGACCTTCATAGTTTTGTTTTGAACTTTACAGAGAAAAACAAAGAAACAAAGAAACAGACTGGGCACATCTTAAATTTGGTCTATCTTGCAATAATGGCCTAAATCTGATTGTTAATCTCAACCAGAGCAGATTCATTGAATCAGTGGAGTTTACTTAAGTTTGGTTTAGCATTAGCACTACTCAATAGTTGAAATCTATTGTAAGTTGCAGCTAGAGTAGGCCCATAGAATTAATATGTTCTGTTGATTCAATCGGACTACTCTAGTTGTGACTTACTATACTAGATTTCAGCCAGCTTGGGATAAATAATTGGATTCTGACCAATGGCTTGAGTTCTGCAGTGTTCTTTTGTGAGTGGAAGTCAGTGGCTCTCATATAAAGTCTGTGAAATCCTGCTGAATTAAACTCAGATTCGGAGAGTAAACCATGGATTGGAAATCTAACCAAATTTATCTTCACATATTTTAGAATTGTGTGTAGAATTAAAACAATGTTTGTTAAGAGTTGATTTCTTCCATTTTAGGAGGAAAACCCAGTCTCACATTCAGTACATATGAAAATGCTACAGTGGACCCCCGACTTACGGAATTAATCCGTATTGGAATGGTGGCCACAGGTCGAAAAGTCTGTAGGTCGAGGGTCCATTTCCCATAGGAATGCATTAAAAACCATTTAATATATTCCAGGCAAAGAAAAAAATCCCGGGCTTCCAAGCTGCACCCGCTGCCCTCTGTCTCCTGTCTCTGGTGCCCTCTGCCTTCTGTCCCTGGGTGGACAGAAGACAGAGGGCACTGGGGACGGGAGACAGAGGACAGCGGGTTCAGCTTTGGAAGCCTGGGAAGCTGCTCTGCACCTGCTGCCGGCTTTCAGCTTCCCAGGCTTCAAAACCCGCTCCACTGCCCTCTATCTCTCATCCCCGATGCCCTCTGCTTTCTGTCCCCACAGGGACAGAAGGCAGAGGGCACCAGGGATGGGAGACAGAGGGCAGCGGAGGGGGTTTTGAAGCCTGGGAAGCCGAAAGCTGGCAACGGGGGTGGAGCGGCTCAGAAAGCCAGCAGCCGGGGCGGAGGGGCTTCCAGCTTCCCGGGCTTCACAACTCCCTTTGCTGTCCCTGTCTCCCATCCCTGGTGCCTTCTGTCCCTGTGGGAAATATGTTAGTAGTGTACAGGGAATTCTGGAAGTTGTAGTCTAAAAAAGCACAAATCTGCACACCGCAGTACACATCACTAGGGATGAGCATGAAACACTTTCTGCAGTTGTCGACACAGCAGTACAGGTGCTGCACATTCACTCACCCCACCCCAGCCAGCTCCCCCACTGACCTGATGGCATGTGCTGCTCCTCCCCTCCCACAATCTTCTATTCTGGCAGGACCACAGACTTCTCCACCTCCTCCAGCAGCTGCCCACTCGCAGGCAGCACTGCAGGAATCCCTATCCTGCCTCCTTGTCTGAGTGGGCAGCTGCTGGAGGAGGGGGAGAAAGGAAGTTCATGCTCTTGTGGTGACTGGATGATCATATGATGAGCAGGAGAAAAGAAGCACCCACTGCCTCCTGAGCCATGTGAGTGGGGAAAATGAATGCTGACAGCTTAAACAACATGGCAGGAAGTGCTTCATACCCATCTCTACACCTTGCCAACTTCAGAAGATACGTTTTGCCTCAGTGGTGAAGCATGCATGAGTGATTCTTGTAGAGTTCCACACCTTTTGTAGTTACATTTGTTTTAAGGGGGAAACACACAGTTTACACTTGCACAAACTCCCTCATACCAGGAGAGAAATGTGTATGTTTTGGACATGCAGAATATCTCTTTAGCAATATCTTCCCTTGAAATCCTTTTCCATAAGTGAGAGGATTGAGCTGGCAGTAATGGTTGGCTATAAATTGGCTGTTTGTTGCAGCAGTGGGAAAGAGCACAGGCAAACTGCTCGCACTGCATAATGCTCAAAGGGAAGGAGGAAGTGAGGACTCAGACTGTCCCCCATATCTAAGTTAGAAGGAGGGGGACAGAACTGATGACTCAATCAGCTTTTATTCTGATTGTATGTGCATCTGTCCTGTCAGTTTTCTGGGAGAAAACTAAGTTTGCCCCCATAGCAGAAGACCCTGCTTTTTGCATTAGTTCTTCCTTCATTTGCATACATGGTCTTCTTCTCTTCATCTTTGGTTCATGGTCTCTTATTTATCTGTGTTTTTCTGCTTGCAGCTTCAAGAGCCAAGCTCAGCATGCTCAACACAATGTCCAAAATTAGAGGGCAGGAAAAAGGACCAGGTTACCCACAAGCAGAGGCTCTTCTAGCAGAAGCAATGCTGAAGTTTGGAAGAGAACTTGGGGATGACTGCAACTTTGGTAACATCTGGTTTCTTCTCATGTAACATTTTAAAATGCGATGGACCTGTCTTTCATAGTTTGGATGCTGAAAGCATTACACCCCAGAAGTCATATAGGTTGCTATACTCTGAGCATCCTATATGACTCTGGATCCTATTGGCCACCAGCAGAGTGTAAAGCTTGTGCTATGTATTAGTGCACAGGCAGAAATTATAGTTAATAATACCCAATATACTGTGCAGCAAGATCCTTGATATGTCTTTCAGCGAGCTGGGAAACAAGTTAAAGTCAAATGCTATGATCTACTTACACTATGAGCAGTTTGACTCAATAGGATCATAGTTTATATTTTATGGTTCATATACTTTTTTATTTATTTAAAATATGTTTACCCTGTCTTTATCTTTAAAAGGACCCAAGGTGGATCAAGAGCTAGGAGTGAATGGTAGATTTGGTTCTGGGTTGTAGTAAGAAGCTTGGAGCCTGAGTCCATCATTCTCATAATTAGGGCTTCAAGGCATGAATGATTACACAAATAAGCTCTGATTCAGGGAGCTTATTTGCATGAGATTTGCATGAGATTTCTAGTGTGCAAAGATGCATAGTTACTGTCATAATTGCTTATTCATTAGTTGGTGTGGCGATCCCCCTTTGTGCCCTATATACCTCTGGGCTCCACAAAGGTAAATACGCCCTTTTCGCTGCCACCAGGTATTATACTAATACCAAATCAAATCCACACACAGGAGCTGTCACCCCAAAGGGTCATATAATTTCAGGAAGCAAGGGGTTTAAATAAATATTCTTTTATTATTGAACAAAATCATAAGGAGAATCAAATATAACTGTTTCATATGTTCATGTATATTAAAATCAGGTGTTAAAGTATCTCAGATCATGTCAATATTTCTCTTGTTATACTGATGCGTTCATTCCTGCTAGTTCAATATATTTTACTTTTTCAATTTCCTTTCTTAACCCGTTTTTGCT